AAAAAAAAAAAAAAAAAGTTTGAGATTCATTGTTTTAACCTTACAGAGTTGTTGAACATCAAATGACTGTATTTATGTATGTGAAATGATTTTGTAAAATATTTTAAATGTAGATTTCTAAAAGAATTTTTGAGCTTCTACTATTATATTGCTGTGCAAGTCCTTCAAGTTGGGACTTTGGAGAAGAGACATGGAAAGAGAACGTATATAATAATTGCTATAGGGAAAAAAAAAATTGCTATAGGGCTGGCTGGTTAGCTCAGTTGGTTAGAGTGTGGTGTTGTAACACCAAAGTCAAGACTTTGGATTCCCATACAGGCCAGCCATGACCCCTGCCTCCCCCACCAAAAAAAATTACTGTTAAGGAGCTTATTAGCTCATAAAGGGAGTGTGGGGGGGGCGAATTCACATATAACTCTTCTGTTCTACAAATGAAACAATGAAAAAACAACTTTACGATGGAAGCTTATTTTGTAGTAAGGGCACACAGCAAACAAAGCCCTGATGTTCATGAATAAAGTCCATTAGTATGGTCCACATTGCTTTTTGATTTTTGAAGTTATCCCCTTCTTCCCTTGCAGGTATAGAACAAGATGCAGTGAATACTTTTACCAAATATATATCTCCAGATGCTGCTAAACCAATACCAATTACAGAAGCAATGAGAAATGACATCATAGGTAAGCACTGCTTGAATTTATGGCAAAAAAACCCCCACCAAAACAGAAACTGAATATTTTTGGTTATGGACTAAGAATTTTTCATGAACATGGAATATAATTGTTCCCTTCCTAGTTTGTTGTCTAAGTACTTTCTTATATCTGATTATAGCTCACATAAAAAGTTTATATGTTGGACCCAAATTCTTAGACTTTGACCTGAATAATAGCAATGGCAAGAACAGTAATAGCGGGCTGGCCCGGTGGCGCACTGTAGAGTGCGCCGCTTGGGAGCGCGGCAGCGCTCCTGCCGAGGGTTCGGATCACACTGGCTGAGCATGGTGCGGGTGCTACACCGAGGGTTGTGATCCCGTTGCCCGTCAGGAAAAAAAAGACAAAAAGGAAGAACAGTAATAGCACACACTTATTGAACACTCACTGTGTCCCAGACAGTATTCTAAGCACTTTCCATGGATAAACTAATTTCATCTTCTAAAGAACCTTGTGGGGGGCTGGCCCGGTGGCGCACTAGATAAGTGCGCTGCTTGGGAAGCGCGGCGGCGCTCCCGCCCGAGGGTTCGGATCACACTGGCTGAGCATGGTGCGGGTGCTACACCGAGGGGTGTGATCCCGTTGCCCGTCCGGAAAAAAA